GCGTAATGGCACCTGGCTTTCGAAGATGTCTCTCGAGCTTCTTCGACCCATTTACGACGCCGCTGCTTAACCTGAATACCTTCTTAAACTCCTCTCCGAAAAACCTCCGCGATGCCGACCTTCCGCGTACCTGCGCACCTGGAAATTATTAACCCGTACTTCACGCCAATTTTCCAAACCATTCCCCATAAATACGAGTGCCTGGTAAGTGCCTTCGGTACCCAGCAATTAATTCCAGTAAATTTCCGGAATCAATCTCCACAATGAGTTCACCAAAAACTCAGAAAGTCGATTCGAATGATATGATTTTAATAGATTTGTCCGGTGAGATAATTCTAGTGTTAAAAGTGGGACTGCATAATTGTATTACTACCAATATGTCGACTTTGTAAGTGGTATATGTGAAATAATAATTAATCTTAAATGAAATCGCAGTGAAATCTTTTTCGTCGATGGCAACCTACTCCGCGAGTTAGTTATATGAAACTCTCGTTTACCGAGAGTGTTTATTGTTATGTTTCCGTTGTACCAGATACGCCGACAATATTGTAGACACTATAGGCTCCTCTCGTGGAGGACTTGATTAAATTTCACGATCGTCCGAACGGGACTTGGTGGCCTCCTTAGTGAGGCGATCGTCGAGAGCTCGACCACTTTCACTCGCTCATCTCGCACGTAGTCGGTCTTAACGTCGCTTTTAATTGTCTACGTTTGGCTGCGTATAAGCGATCGTCTCGTCCTAATTAAGATAAACGTTAAATAAGTCGCATCAACGAGGAGATGGATTTCTCGCGCCGCGCGACGATTCCAAGATGGCGGAGGGGCGCGCTCTTTCGCGCCTCCGTGTTCGAAACCGGCTACGAGTAAGCAAGTGGAGTAAAATAGAAACTGAGCCGAGGAAACAGAAATAGTCGATGGATCGTCGAGAAATGCCGGATCGGCAAGGTCGAGGACGCACTTTTCCGAGATCTGTCTTGAGAGATGCAATCTGAGGGGAGCACGAGTGAAACAAGATTAACGACCGGACGTCGAGGTGGGCTTTCGAGGCTAAATGTCACTTCCTCATACCCGGCTACGCTTTTACGACGACTTATAAACAGCGGTTTTCCAAAAGAGGAGAAAATCTTTTCGCCGAATCCGTACTTATTTTTCCTTCTTCTTTTTTTCCTTTCTTTTTCGTCGAGCCTTTTCTCCGCGAGTCATTTGCAATTACGCACTCGCGGGGAAAGGCGGGCAGAAACGTGGACGCCGCAAACTACTTCTTCGAGAAATTGAAAAAATAATTCCCGACTCGCGTTGAGGGGCAATTCTTTTCGCCCTCTCTCGCGAGGAAAAGCGTGAAAAGTCAAGGAGATATGTGGATGCCGTGAGGTGCTTCTTCACTAAATTAAGAGATTAATTCGGGCCTCGATTAAAGGGGACATTTTTTTTTCGATCTTCTTTCGCAATAGAGAGGTTCGGAGGGACCTGGAGAATTATGGAAGACACCAGGTACTTCTTCACGAAATGAAGAGATTAATTCGGGGCTCGATTTAACGGGGAATGTTTTACCATCTCCACTTTCGATTGAGTCGAAACACTCACGAGAGTCTTTACGATCTATCCAGCGAAACCGGGATAATGGCGGGCTCTTCAAAGTCGTTTACACCGTCTTACGTGCCGCGTTTTACGGCACCTTGAAGAGGTGCCCGAACGAGAAGGGAATATTTTCGCCCGCTAAAATATTACGACCGTCAGCTCTGGCAGAATTTCGTTTTTCCGCAGCGAACTCGAGTCCTTAACCTACTTGGCTAATTTCCGGATGGAAATGCGAAATGACAATTCCTACGGGATTTTCTGTACATACATATACTTAAAAGAGCGCTGGACATCCATGACTAATTCATCCCATATCATGAGCGATTTTTTATCGATCATAGGGTGCCTCATTATCGTTCCGACTGTAATCAGATATGGTGCGACAGTGCTTAATCGAGAACTCTTTTCAAGTTCAATGTTTCCCTCTATTCACTGGGAACGGATCTCGCTCTTTAGACGGAACACTTAACGCGGTACTTTCCGTAATAAATATTCCGCGCCTCCGCAATTATCACGTCTCGTCATTACAGTATCTATCCGAGTTTCCGGCACGAGTGCTCACCTCGTGAAATCGAGAAACTCTCTTCATGTTCTGCTGGTCTTAAAGAGAATTCCTAGCGGGCTTCTCGAGAACCGCGTGGGCACCTCACCTTAAGTACACATTTACCTTAATCACCCGAAAGACCGTCTAATTTCCTTCCGCCTGTCAAAAACATCCTTGCCGAAGAGAGAAGACCCTAAGTTAATTTTTTCTTTAACCAACCATTTTCATAATAATGTTTCAGAAGTAGAAAAAAAAAGCCCCTTAATTCGCGGGCACATTTTGTTTCGAATAAACTTTCTTTAAAAATAAATTCACGTTTGAGTTAATCTGCCAGGAGGGAACAAATCTAGTAATCAACAGTGTCTAAGAATGCAGTATTATTTAATGCGTGATTAATTTCGGGAGAAAAAATTAATTTTCGAATCTTTGCAAATTTTTCCGCGAACGGCCCAATAAAATCGGGTCTTCTGACGATCGCATGTTGAATGACTAAACGCTGTTTTTCCTTCTTTCTTGTAATCTCCCGTCATTGTACAAGGGACGCAGGAAGTGTCCCATTAAACAATGCCAATTATGCGTGAGCGTAATTTATTAATTTTCATCGGTTTCCCTGGAAGTGCAGGATGATGCTATCGGTTTGCATCACGCGGGGTGAAAAAAAAAAAGTGACCCCCAATGCCCGGAAGTACACGCAGAAGTGCATCGTGGCGATTTGTAGGATTCTAAGAACTGTCATACATTGTTTCTAAGATCCGTTTATGGATTATTGTAATAAATCAATCGGTTGAAGGCTGATCTCTAAATCCTGATCGAGTAATAACTCGAGGTCGTGGACGTAATTCAACCCTAATGAATAGGCGATGGCGGGACCGGTGATAAAGAGAGCATCAGGTTGTAATTTGCGGTCGCGGTATACCTGGAAGATTAATATTCCCGAGAGGAGCAAAGAGGAGAATTCATCAAGTACTGAAAATTGTTCCTTGAATAATGAGCGAAAATCCGAGGTTTCCTCCTCACTTGATAAACCGTTTTAATCCTTAATTGTTCCGCAGATGAAAGCGAGATCCTAGAATTTTTCCCTCACTAGGTAAGCCACATTCAATCCTGGTCTCCAACAACGCATTCTGGAATATAAACCCTCCAAAGCAAAACGGATATTTAATTTGGCTATTTGATAGTAAGAAATTCGGTATCTTCGTTGGACGCGCAACTAATAAGCCCCTGGAATTTAATATTAAAGTTTTGCTACTTGATAGTAAAAATATTCGTCATTTAATATCGAGATGCTCTTCGCAGAAGGCAGGATAGACCCAGAAACAAAATTTTTAGAATTCACCATGTGGTGATAAAAATTCATTTGATGTCGAGATCCTATTCATCGGGTACGCAACAGACGGACCCCGGAAGCTGGACAGCATTCGAATAGATCGGCAAACGATTGGCCGCGTTCCCGATTCAATTGAGCCGCAAATCCGTGGAAAGTCCGAAAGTTCTTCCTGAAAAGGTCCCCGTCATCGTCGTCATCGCCGACGTACCCGGCGTTGATTTATCACAGAGAGGCGCCGACGATCGCGAGAATCTCCCGCGACGCCTTTATGATAATGACATCCGCGTAGTTTCCAACGGGCGATCGTTTTGTCGTTACACGGACACCTCCACGAAGCCATCGGCCCGTTTGGCGAGATGTTCCACTTCCGTCTTCCAAAGTGCGCGTAATCCCGCGATTAGCCTCGGTTGGGGTGAAGAAAATTTTCCCTGTTCCTTCCTCTCCCTCTTTTTCTTTTTTTTACAATCCTCGGACTTTCTCGGAGAGTCGCGGTCGGATAGGCGATCTAAAGAGCCGCTGATAGGCCTTTGATAAGAAGATCAGCAGTCATCTTCCCGCCCGGAAAGAAACATTTGGCAATTTAATTAGGATATGTTAATATGAACACGCAAGTCCCCTTTTGTTCTCTACACGATCGAGGTGAAAATCTCGTTGCGAGGTACACCCTGGAGCAACGATGGGGGCCAATCACCATTTAGCAACCAGCAGACATCTCGGAGGCACTTTGGACCTTGATGCTTGAAACTGAGAAAGTATGACCCCGGATACTAAAGGCAGTAAAGTAATCAGCCGACATCAGCTGTTTACAAAGGAATCCACTATACACGTGGGTCGACTTCTGAACAGCATCACGCGACAGATTCGTCTCACCATAGGAGGTCGAAGACTCTCTCCAGCTTCTAAAAACCAGATTCTCGCTAGAGTATGGAAAAATCCCTCAAACGCATCCAGGAAGCGAGTCAAAATCCAAATAATGTTTAAAATATTTCCCTTCTAAAATAGTTAAAAGGTGCAATGATAGCATATACGATACGATATAAAGATGAAAATCAAAAGCCACCGCCTCACGGCGAAGAATAACAAAGTCAGATAATTACCATATTGTCGACTACGTAACCCAGGCGTCATTAAAACATTAGCCTAATCGAGCTAGCACGGCAATAACTTCATCCCCCCCGTCGCATCATCTTCCTAGGAATTAAATTTTTTGCGGGAATAAATTATAAGACGCCTTAATCAGCCGGGATATCTTTCAATAAGCACGTCGGGCATATTAATATGCCTGAATAAAGATGCAGTTGAGCGATTAAGCCAAGAGATCAAGACAATTGCGTAGATGCTAAGCCCTGCTCTTCGCAGCCACTTACACTCGTCCTTTTTCCCCAGTTTTTTGTTCCTACTATTTGCATCCGACGCCGCGGAAAGTCCATACACCGGGAAAGGATTTTCTGTTTTCCGTCGATGATTAATGACCCTCCATTGTTTTCCCTAGATAATTAATAATCCGCCTTTGTTATTAGGAGGTAATTAATAATGCCGGTGAAATTCCAGGAGAAAATGGCGTCGGCAGCGGCGGAGTTGGTGGCGGAGCGAGAACCGGAGCCAAGGATCGAGATCCAGGACTCGAACAGGACCTTCGTCGGTGCCGAAAATTTGGTCAGGATGGCCCTAGACCAGTACACGGAGATCCTGACGACGGTTTCGGACCCCAGAGTCAATAATTGGCCTCTGATGGACTCGCCGATCCCGACAGTGATCATCGTCCTGGCGTACCTGTACTGCGTCACCCTCCTAGGACCCAGACTCATGGCCAACAGGAAACCCTTTAAGCTGAGGAACGCCCTGGTGGCTTACAATGCCTTCCAGGTGGTCTTCTCTCTGGGAATGCTCTACGAGGTAAGCGAGGAAAATCCCAAAAATATAATCATTCATCCTTAGACAAGAGATCGTCCGATCGTCCTGATGACGATCCTGCCGCGTTCTTCTCCGCCTCTTCTCCTTTTATCCTGACATCGGAAATACAGATAAAGCGCCAGGGAATTTTGCATGGAGCCACCTTGACCCACTGACGTAGCGGGCGTTTTCCTGGGATATCCACCCCGTCTGTCTAGGAATCGACTTGCGAAATCCTGATTTGAATACGTACCGGTTCCACCGGACAGTCGACTCCCGGGCGATTGATCGCTGCCCGCAAGATTCCGGGGTTCTCCGTTTTCCTTTCCTCGTTTTATTTCCCTTTCTGTCGTTTTCTCCTACTTGGAGCACATCTACAAATCGCGATCTTGGTCTCTCATAAGGCATTGACATTTCCGGTCGAGTATCGATCATCTGACAGCCATCGGACAAAGTTCTCCACTCTCGACGGCAGGTTCTCGCGCTCCCGATTCCCCGGTTTCCTTCTCCTCTTTTTTCGTTTCTTTTTTTTTTTTCTAAATCGTTTTCTTTCCGCGCGAAGTCCCTCCAGAAATCGCGAAACCGGTGCCTCGTCGAGGCGATCTCTATTCGCTAGAAAGGCATCAGCACATCCGTTAATCATCGCAACGTTGTGCATAGTTTAAAGTCGGACGTCCATTGGCCAACGTCCTCTTGCACTCTCGACACGAGCTGTCTGGTGGGAACGAGAAAGCGACAAAATTGCTCGGCCCGATCGCAGGCATAATGTATTTTTGGAGAACCGCGATTCACTCTCGCTGAACAAGTCGGTACAATTAGATCTACAGTGGGCGTTTAGAGAAAAAAATCTGGCCGGTAGATAAGTGCACATTCTGGCTCGTGATTAGAATTTCTCGTCCACTCTGATGAGAGTGGGAACCGCTTTGCTAAATAGGACGTCAAACGCGATGCACCTCTTATTACACAATTTCCATACATTACGGTAGCGTGACATAACCGAGTCTCGTTTTTTCTCATTTTATTTGGACACTTCTCAGCTGATTTAGACGACATACAGGGGGTGAAGACGTTGACATCAGTCACCGGTTACCTGGTATGCTAAATCAGACCATATACCGGTCAGGCGTAAGTTCGCAGCGCTGCGGCGTTAATCCGCGCACGCGATGAGATTTCACAATCAGGTCGAACGGAACCGATCGAAATGAAATCGTGTTATTATAACTAATTCGTCGAAGCCGAAGAGCGTGGCTGATCAGAGCGCCAGGAGGCACAGGATGGAAATGGCTAACAACGTCTTCCGTGCATTTTCCCTTTCGACTGATCGTCCTCTTTTCAGTTCCCCATCCAGAGAACATATCTACCACAGCCCATAAAAATCAAAATAATCCTAATTAATCCAACAAAGTCTAGAAGCGCCGCACTATCAGGATGCAAAGATGCAAACGACGCACGTGCCTTATCAGAGAGCCAGGATGCACAGGATGGAAATGGCTAACAACGTCTTCCGTGCATTTTCCCTTTCGACTGATCGTCCTCTTTTCAGTTCCCCATCCAGAGAACGGATCTACCGGAGCCCATAAAAATCAAAATAATCCTTATTAATCCAACAAAGTCTAGGAGCGCCGCACTATCAGGATGCCAAGATGCAGGCGACGCACGTGGCCGATGACGTCTCCCCATCTGATCTTCCTTTCGTCAGATCCTGAGGTTGCGAATCGAGATCCCAGCGCGGCAATTTAGCGTCTCGACGTATCCACAGGTGGACGTCGAAGCCGAGGCAGTTGCCCAACCTCGATTTGTACATCTGCCGGGATTCGTTAAGGCGAAGCATCCGGTTTTCGAATGTTTGTGCAACGATCCTTTTCTTCGAGCCCAGGCAATCCCCTCGTCGGCACTTTCCATAATCAAGGTCGGGCATTAACTCGGCCATAGAGGCGAGCAAGCCCGTCGGAAACCGCTCGAAATGTCCAAAAGAGCCTCCACGAGTTGACATCTCCTCGTGGCCTCGGAGAGATCAGCTGGACCAGCGAGTGCGCAGTTGCGCTTACTTGCACGCGCGGTTACGCGCATATTCAGCGCGCGCCGCGCCTCGGATAGCTTTCACCTTTTGACCATATCTTTGACTGGTCGTTAGTGGGCCTTTAGGAACTAAATGAAACGAGTCACGGTACCTAGGAAAGAAGTGCAAGGAAAATCGGGCATTGGCCAATCCGGTCGAGCCTCTGGTCATGAGCGACACCGCGCTACCGTATCTCCTTTCTCGACTTCCAGGACTGGGTTCCTGGCCACCCAGGATAACAGCAACAATGGAACAGCTGGATTCGAGAAAGACTCGGTTTCCTTTGTGGATTTACCAATGATTGTGCCGTTCTTATCGGTACGGATTTCGGTACATCGGTTTGCTTTCGCCACCTGATACTGACTACAAGTGCCAACCTATGGACTTCTTACGCGAATCGTTTACCTTGTTAGTTTCGGAAATGAATTTAGATTTATACTTTATGGATGTTCCAGCTTTCCCTCCCAGTTTCCCATGAGAGATAAAAACCCGCGTGGCGGTTTTTCCATCGACTTGCTTCACCAGGATCGTCATCCTCTTATCATAAATAGATTTTTTGTATTGTTCTCTAACTTAATTGACATTTTTATTCGACAAATTATCCGTAAGAAACCGATAAAAATCGGCTCGGTAGATCCCGAGTTTCGCATCTACGTACAAAAAGAAACGATTTCGTGTTCTGAATTTTTCTATATATAATCTAACTCTCCAGCAGTTGGATTAAGGGATTTCTTAAATTGGTGCTGGTTAGATGTATAAATGGTTTATTTTTAGTACATGACTGGGTTTCTTTCAGCACCTGATGTCCGGCTGGCTGGTGGACTACAGCTACAAATGCCAACCTGTGGACTACTCCCATAAGCCGTCTGCCCTGAGGATGGCGAACCTCTGCTGGTGGTACTTCATCAGCAAGTTCACGGAGTTCGCCGACACGGTTAGTAGAACGGATGCAAAATGGCTCATCTTGACCTGGCAGAGTCCACCAAGACCTGGACCAGTCGTCGAGATCGATCCTTGAAGGGCTCCTCATGATACTCTCCGTTCTCCACAGATATTCTTCATCCTCCGCAAGAAGGACAGCCAGGTGACTTTCCTTCACCTGTACCACCACTCTTTGACGCCCCTGGAAACCTGGATCTGCGTAAAGTTCATCGCAGGAGGCCATGGCACCCTGGGGAATTTAATCAACAACGCGGTGCACGTCGTCATGTACGCGTACTACATGCTGTCCGCCATGGGGCCGGAGTACCAGAAGTACTTGTGGTGGAAGAAACACTTGACGACGGTCCAACTGGTAAACCATCACAAGATGATGATAAGGAAAATCGGTCTTGGTCTCCCAGGCCTGGTCTTGCAAGTATCAAGTCCAGGTCTTGCTCTAGGTATTGCAAAAAGTCCAGGTCTTGCTCTAACTCTTGCAAATAGTGCCACTTTCTGCCCCAAGCCTATGACCCCAAGACCGATTTTGCTCATCACTAAAGCCATCCTCCACGGTTCTAGAGGGGAAACGGGGGACAGGGAACGAGGTGCATTGCGGCACGTGTTGGCTGTAATTTCCTAATTCACCTGTCGGCCGATTTCGAGAGCGAATAATAACCCGATCCGACCCAATCCCTGTCTCGTTGCGCAAACGTTGGGGCGAGAAAGGGAAATCGCGTGTACGCATGCGCGAGAGGGTAAGAGCTATCAGGATTGTCATTGCGCGCGTCCTCGCGGTGGTCGCCATCAGGCTGATTACACCTGGAATCGGATAATCAAACGCAAGCTCGATGTTAAGACCATTCTCGAAGATTTAGACATAATTGCCGTAATTAGCGGCAGCCTGAGGCGCTCGTTTGTAACATGGCAGGATCTTCGATCTAGATCTTGCGGGTTGTGATCAGCCTGATCAGGCGTGGTCCAGTTGAGAGCAGGATGATTAAGTGCAGCTTGATCAAGAGTCGTTTGATTAGGCGAATTCTAATTAGGCATGGTCTAATTGGACATTGTCAGTTGTCATCAGGCACAGAGTCCTCCTTGCACTCGTACTTACATGACCACCGATAGACCACGGTCAGGTTCGATTAGGATTCTCGCCCAGCAAGATTTTGCATGCGGCATCAGCTGCCAGCTTCCTTCAACTTGCAATTCAATCTGCAACCCTTCCTTACTCTCGCTGACAATTGAACCTGATTTCTCGTTATCGGGCACAACCAATCGCAGTCGTCTCAACGTAACACTTTCATCTTGTAATCCAACGCGAGCTTAACTTCAAGATCTGCGCAAATATCCTCGGGCCGATCGCGATAGATCACCGTCAATCATGGCGAGCATAATCGAAGCTTATCAGGCGCAGCAGGCGAGACTGAAATCTTATCAGGCACGCATTAAAGGCGTTCACTTTCTTTCAACCTGGAATCAGAAAAGATTTAGTTTTCAGCAGGTCCTTCATCATCCCACGTGGACCATCCATCCGCTTGCTGCCGCTCATCTCGCATCCCATCAAGATCAAGACTCCGTCAGATGCTCTCTGACCTGACCTACCCAAATCTACATCACATCGTTCGTCATGTCATCAGTAACCAACTCCTTTCTTGAAATCAAGACCACTTTGGTTCCCAGGATCCCTGTCATCATCCCACATGGACCACCCATCGTATGCCGACTCTCGTCTTGCATCCCATCACCATCCTGGCCAGACTCCCAGACCTTAATCGGTCCCCTATCGGGCCTCGCTCTGATAAGAACTAAGCCACCTATCCGAAGAGTCCTCGGCCGCGCAGGGACCCCGCGGATTCTGGGCCGCGAGCGGAAATCCTTTCTTGAAATCAAGACCAATTTGGTTCCCAGGATCCCTGTCATCATCCCACATGGACCACCCATCGTATGCCGACTCTCGTCTTGCATCCCATCACCATCCTGGCCAGACTCCCAGACCTTAATCGGTCCCCTATCGGGCCTCGCTCTGATAAGAACTAAGCCACCTATCCGAAGAGTCCTCGGCCGCGCAGGGACCCCGCGGATTCTGGGCCGCGAGCGGAAATCCTTTCTTGAAATCAAGACCAATTTGGTTCCCAGGATCCCTGTCATCATCCCACATGGACCACCCATCGTATGCCGACTCTCGTCTTGCATCCCATCACCATCCTGGCCAGACTCCCAGACCTTAATCGGTCCCCTATCGGGCCTCGCTCTGATAAGAACTAAGCCACCTATCCGAAGAGTCCTCGGCCGCGCAGGGACCCCGCGGATTCTGGGCCGCGAGCGGAAATCCTTTCTTGAAATCAAGACCAATTTGGTTCCCAGGATCCCTGTCATCATCCCACATGGACCACCCATCGTATGCCGACTCTCGTCTTGCATCCCATCACCATCCTGGCCAGACTCCCAGACCTTAATCGGTCCCCTATCGGGCCTCGCTCTGATAAGAACAAAGCTACCTATCCGAAGAGTCCTCGGCCGCGCAGGGACCCCGCGGATTCTGGGCCGCGAGCGGAGCGGCCGCGCGAAATTTCAAGCCGGTGCGTCGCGGCGGTGGGAGAGACGAGAGAAAGTGAAAAGTACGTTGGGCAATTCTGGCTTGCTTTGCCGGACTCGGCCGTGGCTACGAGTGTGTGGCGCAACAATTTGGCATTCCGATATGCCGGGCCGCAGACCGGCCGCGTGCCGAGCGACGCGGGCCTCACCTCCGTAGGTTTAACCTATTCCCGAGTTATTTATCGCTCCCAGCAATCCCAGGATCGGTTGCCAGAGACCCGAAGTAGGACCCCAACGAAAGGCCGCGATGGAAAGGCCCGACCCGTCCCATCCGACCTCCACCAGCTCCCAGACCCATCGGGTGTACCGCACGACCTAAACTGCGAAATCAGCCCCCAAACCCGCGTTTCCACGAAATGTTGCAACCGTAAACAGACCTCGTCACGTGGTCACATTATCAGGATTACATCGATCATTCCTCGCATTGGTCAATTTGCGAGCGAGCGGATCGCTGAGTTGGCGCTAATCGCCATCGCCTCAATTTTCCACTCGACTCCGTTCCATTTCAACGGGTTTATCGAGCAGTTTCGATTAAGCGCCGACATGGTACCGCCATCTTGCAGCAGGTTCGTCATGCACTCTACGTAAATCGCGGCGACCGCTGTTGCCGGCATTACGTCATTTGGGATTAATTTAGCGAATCCGCGGGACGGCAGATTGATATTTTTGCGGTTACCCTAATCGCTCGTTGGGATATGCTGCGGTGGTGGATCTCCGCTGAGATTCCATAATGATCGTTACGCTAATCGGAATATGCATTTCCCTCTGCGCAGGTGCAGTTCTTCCTGGTGTTCGTGCACAGTGCCCAGGCGCTGGTCTTCGACTGCGGTTACCCCAAGCTGGTGGCGGGTCTTCTGCTCCTGCACGCGACTATCTTCTTCGTCCTGTTCTCCGACTTCTACCGGCGAGCCTACCAGAAGGCCAAGGCGCGCCCTAAGGAGCTGAAAGGGGAATAAACGCGCGAAGGGCCGGCCAGGAAAAGCTCGAAGGAGACCCCGCTAGGTCGCAGGTTCCCACGTTTCCTGGGAATCGCAGCCTGAAGTGGAGTCGCTTCTACGTCGAGGACACACCCAGGCACTTCTACCGCGTCGAGAAGTCGTCCTCCACGACGTAGCGCCTACCACGTTAGGAATCCGTCTCCCTGTCCGAACTCTTCCGCCGCGTCCAGGAGGTTGCCCGCCTCTTCATCAGGGACTTAGTCATGGTGCTGAGGGTCTCCCATCCTGTCCAGGGGACGAAGTGTCTCCACTGGCGGAGGGTACCACCCCTCGCTCTTCGACATCCTCTTCAGGAACTCGCTGCCCTGCCTGGTCTCTCCCGGATGGTCGCAGCCTGGAAATCGTCTTGTACAGTTACTTCTTAGTGGGCGAAGCAGACGGGACGCGAGACCTGGACAAGGTGCCTCTACATGCCAACTCGGGACGCAGACCTTGTAAAAAGATCCCTTCCATTGTTCCGGAGGAAGCTGCGGCGCCCACGACGTGCCCTCCTCCAGGTCGAGGAGTAACTCGAGAGGGATTTGCATGTGCTCTAGAGGTTTCCGAAGACTCGTCGTCGGGTTCTGCGAGCTCTTCTGCGAGATGTTGAAGAGTCCCCTGAAGATCCTACGGGTCCCTTCGACAAGGGATCCTCCACTCGTACAGATACCTTCCGCTCGGAAGAGAACTTAGCCACATCCTATCGCAATCCCTACCCGTACACTCCGAGGTACGTCTCAGGTCTGAGACCACGAAGTCGGTCTCGCTTTAAACAGTACCGTGCAAACCCACTGTACATAGGTATACATACACAAACGGCTTAAACATACCCTAAACCCAACTACGGTGGAAGTCGCTGCTTGACCCAAGCCTCGCCGAGTCATCTCCCATAAGAAAATCACGGGAATCGGACCTCCTCGACCACCAACTCGTGTTAAAACTCCCCGAAGAGGTCTTCCGGGATGCATTGCACCAGCTGCCAACCGTACCCTCGGGACTTTTAATTCATGCTTCACCTCGCATAAAGAACCCCGTCCCGTGTCAATTTCACGAGTGAAGAGGTCCCTATCTAACACCAGACACTGACAAATCTCCAATTTTCCACGGTTTCGGCACTAATGACAATCCTTTCGCTACTCTTCCCCAACACCCCCGAGGAAGTTGAACGACCACAACCAAGACATCACTCACTGACTGGCATTGACTATCCAGCTCAACCGGAGCGACGTGCAGTCTTCCCCGCTCGCCAGGAAAGACTACAGCTCAATGTTGAACGATCTGCCAACTACTCATACCGTCAATGGACCATTAGGCTATCTACCTAACTACCTGTCAGCCTGTCAAGTAGTCAGCCACGAGGCAATCGGTGCAATGCATCCCGGAAACATCCTTATCCTATATGCGAGCGGTCGAGCTGATTGGTGACTCTTCGGCATCTACCCAGTCCTTCTCATCGAGATCACGGATATCGTGGTGGCTCTCCGATGCGATTACTCTCTTCCACTCTCTCTCTCTCTCTTACCTAATTGTCGGTGCTCGGGTTCCGGGCGCGAACGTAGGAGCCTCCACCCTGCTCTTCAGGGTGCACGCACTGCGGTGTCCAGCCTGTCGGTTGGGGCAATCGATAGCCGGGGACCTTCCCTGGATATCGGCCAGTTTAATGACCAGCTCCTCTCATTCGGAAGCCCTCACCGGGGTACGTTCCTCCAGGGTCATCTCGTCCGGTCGACGTCTCGGAACTCGCGGGTCGGCCCTCGTCGAGGAGCAGCCGCGTGCTCGGAGTCACATGACGTTCCGCCCGACGTCTCGGCACCGGCTAACTCTCTGCGGGATTTAATAACTACTTTACTACTATTTAAAATTAATCCCAATCCCCACGGCCGCTGCTCGCGGGGCGCGTGCAGCTCGCGACGAACCGTGGTCCGACTACCCGATCGATTTTCCTCGAGGGGGGTCCACGTACGGGTGAACAGTGACGCTCATCTCGAACAGGTGCGAGCGCATTTGCGCGCATGTAGATCCCAAGTGGTGCGGACTTTAGGAGCCAGTTGTCGCAATTAGCCGGCCACTCGTTGAGTCCCTGCAAAGGAGAAAAGAGCGGATTAAAGGGGTGCGAAAGTGACATCCGAGGGGTCTATCCAAGAGTCCACGAAACTTTTCTCCGAACTGGACGTGCCGAATCGTTTCAAACTTTACAACGTGAATGGGAAGGATACAAGGAAGGTCCCTCCGGCCATGAAATTTGAATTTATAAAAAATTTCTTTATGGATATCTTCAAATTTTCTTGTATAAAAAATGAAATTTCATGAGCATCGCGCTCTTCCTTAGGGCCTACGTAATTAATTGCTGAAGTTTCTAGTGATGCGGTGCACCCTGTTTGGAGATAAGTTATTAAAGTATTTTAACGGTGTCATGTTTATGGAATTTTGCGCTTTGCGGGATACCTGAGATCGCAATTTGTCCGGCTTTTCTTGTCCGATGTAGCTCTAAGTGCCAATTACTAGCTGGCCAATTACCGGTGCCAATGACTGTGTGGATTACCCTAGGTGATCATGTAGGGTCATGGGGTCGGATCGTTGGTGAAAACTGTATCAGGATTCGTCCTTCTTGGGTGGATATTTCTCGAATTACAAATGTGCTCGTCCTTGTTCCGGAGCATCTGCGCTTCGTCGTTAGTACCTAAGGTTTACGCTTAATTTTAGACGTTGTAATCATTGATATATATTATTATTAAATTATTTCTCTACCAATGGTACTGTCACAGACACTCGTTTTTCTACTGAATTATATATAGAGATATGTATACCCGTTTGTATTGCCGCCCGGATTATGGCGCGGCAGAGCGATTAGCGATTTCCTCATGATGAAGAAATAGGATAAGTTGTAATAACTGATAAGCTCGTTGCCATGTTAAATGGGAAGGTTACAGCTGTGTATAATAGTCCTTTGCAATTGACAATCTCCTGTTTTCAACAACGTGCATGGTATTAAACGCTTTAGATGATATTACAAATCTTAATACAGTGTGTAATATTTTATGTGTAAATACATAATATTAAACGTCTCATGTTGTTCTCTGTACCATACTTTTTAATTGACGGAATCGGGTGGCGTTAAACTGAGAGTGGATAGGTACAATCTTTCTACTTAATGTAATTATATGGAGTGGAGTAATCGAGACTAAGTATTTATTTGTTTCGCAGGTCCAATTTCTCAGCGCAAGGAAACAAATGTATTTTTATAATAAAGACGTGCTATGATAAGGATAATGTTCGGCTGTTGATATTTAGCCCTGTAATCGATTAGCTCGATTTGTTTCTCTTCGCTCCATTGAAGAAAAATTAGACAAACTCTTTCTTCCCACCACGCAATTTTGTATACCTGTTTGGAATAACAAGATGATGCTGTTTTGTAAATATTACGTCAATAAATATTTTTGGCATAAGTCCATGCCATTAAAGGAACCCTTGTATCGTTAAGTAACCATGTAGTCGACTTTATATTGAGCACCGTTCAATGCTTTATTTCTAGATACAAGTATGTACATGACATGGCCCAATTCCAGTATGACGATTAAGAAAATTCTTACCGTTTTCTAAGAACCAAACGACAAAGGATGACTTATATGCTATCTATAAAGACTGATCAAGCCGCTGCAGCTTGTGCCTGCTGCTGTTGCAACTTCCTCTTCTGCCTTTTCAGAAGCCTGCGTTCGCGTTCGTACTCCTTCATTCTTAAAACATAGCTGAAAATGATAAACTTTATTACTTACTTATTTCAATTAAAAAACTTTAAATTAAATCAAAATATGTAGAAGTCATTATGACCACTAAAAACTTTTAAAGAACGCTTACTCATCAAATTCACACTCTTCCAATGAGTGTCTCTCGTGGTGACACTTGTGAAAAAATGGAGCAACTTTTACTCTACATGTTTCCAGTTCTAAATATTTGTGGGCACAATAATCGCGTGAATTTTTAGGAATACGAGCAGCCTCCATTTCTTCCTCTGTGGCGATCATAACTGGAATAAATGAAAAACAATTCATAAACAATTACATCCTCTTAACTACTGTGGTGTCTACCGATAACATGATAACAATCGCACAGACAGAATAAGTATATAAATGATTAACAGATTAAACCCCAGAAATCGAAACCGACACTACCTTAAAAGTGTAGAATTTAAGAAAGAAAACATGTGATATAGATAAAATTTTCACCGACCAGGAATCCAAAATTTGTAGGTTATAATGAAACCACTCACCTCTAGTCTTTCTGCCTTTCGGGAAACCTATATTTGAGTCGAATTGGGGAGCGACTTTAGAATCCGGAGTTGTGTCCGGATTTCTTATATATTTTTCAGCATAATTCCCCATTTCCTTTAAACAATCCTCCAATTCGAAGAAATCCTTATAACGAGCAGAAGAGAACCCGACAGTTGGCGACACCCCTGCCATCTATTGATCAATCTTACGTAATTTACGCGCTTAACCGATCTGCTTCTTCCCCAAAAAGGACATTTTTTTTATAGATAACTTTTACAAAAAACAGACCCTATAAATCAAGACAAATGTCGACTCATCATTTACAAAGCTCAAGGAACTTAAGAAAACGTTGAACATTTGCAAATAATGTGAAAACCAATGGAAACATTAAGAAAAACAACATTTAAACTTTGTAGAAAACGAATGTATTTTTTCTGCCCACTGAAACGAATACAAAACTGAATTAACTTTTTCAGAGTTTAATATAAACTCACTTCAATCGCTTCAAAGCTTCAAAACCATTATTGTTTCTTATTTTCGAAATTTTATTTCTAAGCAATTTCGTACTGCGATTCTCTTAATACAATTTTTTAGAAGACCCTATTCGTGTAGTTTTCATACTTTTATGAGCTTCGTAATTAAAGGTAGTTGCATGTTCTTATGAGCTTAATAATTAAAGGCAACACGTTGACATGTGGACCGCATTTCATGGTATACTTACACTTAGTCGTTAGATCGATACTTAATTTATGGACGTAAAAATAAACCTGTACAGCTCAATCATCATCCTCTTCCATAGCTTCTGGTGCTCCCGTACCTATTATTGACAGTGTAACATTAATGTTAAATGACAAAACACATGACATTTATAACATATATCAAGATTAATAATACAGAAAAGTAACTGCAGGAATAGTTATTCAAATCCATGAGTTCGCTCCTAAATATAAATTTATCGTGCTATAATATTTATCTAATGCTCATGCGTTTATATACCATTGTGAAGTTTCTCTTCCCCGGGTATATGACCAGCTTGAAGTAATTTACTTAATCTTTGAACTTCCTCAAGTGAAGATGCACTTGTAATAGCTTCTCTGATTTTGGATCGTTCATCTGAGCTGGTTAACGGTTTCTCCATAGCAGTGCCTGGTGCCTGCGTCTTTGCCTTTTTCGCAATGTCACATGCCATTTCCTTGCCCTTTTTGCTCTTGAAGTAAACCGTGGCTGCCTCACGCTCCTTTAGTTTGACCTTACGGAAGTCAAGCAGACGTAGTTGTGGCAACCTATAAATGACATACTGCCTGTACTGTGGCTTCGCCGATACTGGATTCTGTAGCAGGCATAGACTCTTAAGATTTATCAGCGGCACTAGTGGATCCAGATCTCCGAGATCTTGAATCATGTTTCCTGTGAGCATGAGAGTTTCCAAACTCGGTATACAGTGTTCCAGACCTTCACCAATTCTGACAATGCGATTATTGTTAAAGAACAAAGTCTTAATCCTCTTCAGAAGTGGAAACCCATCCACCTTGCGAATATCGTTGTCTGAGAAGTCTATCGTATCAAACTGATCCTAAAAATACAAAAAAAACGACATTTTGAACGTCCCTCCTGACCTTTTTTTTGCAGCACTAAATGTAGCCATACTTTGAACGACCCTGCTCGTAGAACTATTGCTGATATCAAAACATTTGAATTAAATACATACTCTTCAAACGTATGCTTACCAACGTTGCTCCCAAATTCTCAATGGTGGGTATTTTATATCCTACAATGAAATTAGAAAAGGAACATCGTGATTAAAATTAAGGGAACTCGATTTTGAAGAAAAGAATCAAAAACCGTATGTTTTGAAGTCTAACCTCTAAGATCCAACTCTCGATCTCTCACTGGATTTATGTACTGCATTGACTGTTGTATCAACTCGGGAGTTAATTTTACCATATTTAATGAATTTTCTGAACTCCCGAAGTTTGAAAGAGACGAGAACTTGATATTTTCGTTGCCGCAAATCTGAGCGTTCCCGCAATAATCGCCAGCGACGTATTACAATGTTCGAAAGCGTGCGATGAAATAAAATACATATGAGAATGGTTTCAAGATAGTATTAAATAAAGCTTCTCTTCCTCAAACGCTTACTAGTTTCAAAATCAGATGGCGCGCACTGTGCCCCGATTTTTCGCACGCTATATAACATGGCGGGATATTTGAATCAATTAAAAAGCACGAGGCCCGAATCTCAAATAAATAAAGAACAAAAAATGTTAGAAAAGACATAATTTTCTGGATTTAAAATCGCTCTTTCCTGAATGGAAGCTATTTCGTATCTTTGGCTATAAATACATACATTCGACCAAAGCATCGACGAAGTCGATTACACGTGGAAGATCAAACTTTGCAGACCTCTTCGTAGTTAGCGTCCTCAAGGCACTTGCGTGTCGTAAACACGCACTTTGCCGACAAAAAAAAAGTGCTTTGGAAACATCATCTGCCAAGAGGACTACCAATATACAAATCAAGAATGCTCTGTTTATCCGATTCTCGGATTACCGAATTACCAAGAAACCGAGAAACGGGTAAACCATTTCATTACGTAGGACAAATAATCATGTGCGCTGAATTGCGCACCGAGACCGCGCAAAGTATTTCTTTCTAGTTTCGTCGTCACCTTTGTTTATGAAATAAAAATTTACAAAGTCAAGAAACAAAAAGTTCCGGCAGTATTTCGGAATGGCGGCGTTTCGGAAATGGCAGAACGAGTTAATAACATGTTAAAAGTAAGACCTTTGTGGAAGCACACCTACCCTCCTTTGCATCGTAAATTCGCATTTTGTTTTCGCCGATGTTACAAGTCGGCGCATTAACAATTATTTTAATTATTTAAGGCCAGAGTTCTCCAGACAAGTGCAAGAGCCTCGGGAAACTTATTCATGACGATGTTAGCCGTGTCATCGTGAAATTCAAATTTCGTTACGACTTCTCTGACATTCGAAATCAAAGTTGTACAAACATTACGCTTTTTTGCACATTCGGAGAATATGCGGGCTTATTTGTAGTGTCGTCATTGTGCTGATGACAATTCCTGAAATAGACCTATCGTAGTCGTCAAAACTGTCAGAACGATTTTCTGCCATAGAATATCTTTGTCAAAGGTTTTGTAAGAGATTGATCCGTAAAAAAAAAAATATTCTCGACGTGAGTTAAGGGGGCTCATAGGTGTGGACGTTGTTAAAACCACCCTTTCTTCAAGCAAGTGTCGGCGAATTCCCGGAAAAAGTCAACCTGTCAAACAAGAAAGACATAATTTCCCACCTTAAACTCACATGATGGCCGATAATGTTTTCTTGCAAAATTGTTATAAGTGTAATACGGACAAATGTACGTTTGCGAAATTTTTTAGTGCCATATCTCTCTGACAGGGCGGAATCGTGACCTTTCTGTTGACACGCCGACAGAAGGATGTATAGAATTACGAATATCTCGGAAAAGGAGATTACACCTAGGGAAAGGAAAAAAAAGCAACCTCTATTACTTGATTGGACACCTGAGCAGGTGTATTACTTGGAAAGGTCGTTAGAGTGATTTACTGGGAAAATTATTCAAAGGCACTCGCTATCTAAATCCTGGAGCTATGAGAGACGAGAGACATGATTTTCTAGTATGCTCTCGTGCAATGCATTTTTTAAACAAGGAACTTAAACAACGCAAAACACGTGCACGAAATCACTGTCTTTTTGTCGAGCTCGATAGTGCATAAGTGCAAAGATGACGTAGACATTTAATGACATGTTTCAGGGGAAACTTTTAAAAAGGTAACATTCCACAAATTAGGTACGATTAGCAAAAACGTAGGTCAGTACACAGTAAGCATTGCATAAATAAAATAAATATAAGGTGAAATTAATTTTCAATTCCAAACGCTCATTTTGTATACATTCCTTTCGTGCCGTTTTCCCGGTGTATTATAAAATAATAAATGTAATATATCTTTTAACTTCCGGCAGAGTGCGACAACAGTCGATTATAATTTATTATGAATGACAGTCATGCATTATTCTCTCATAATTTAGAGACAATCGAAGCGTAAAATCTTATTTCCTGATGTAATCCTGATGCACGTATTTATGTAATATTTCCACCAATTCTCCGAGCCTCCTCGAATCGAAGAGCTATTATCCGACGATTGTTTTTCTCAAATCGAGAAAATCGAATTCTGAAATAATCGGGGAGATTATATAAGTGCGAGTCATCTGTCACGTCTCAATATTGAGCCTAGATATTAGCGGCATCATTCATTAATACACCATTTTCTTCCGACATCTGACAAACATACATCAAGGAAATTGTAGACCTGGGAATGCACTTAGTTTTTTTTTTTTACAAAAGCTCAACCTGATAAAAACTGAACACGACTTAATATCTGAATGCATAAATTGAATACCTGCATTTAATGAGCACAATGAACTACTATACGTTTTTTTGTCTCGGATCGTTATCTCAATTCCTATCAGCATGTATGATTCTAATTGAATTCGATTATCTCGCCTAACGTCATGTTAAAAGAAACATAAACATCGAGGCGACAGGGTGCAAACACACATCATACATGCCATAATAACGAAGCAGTTTTTATTAAATGCTCTTTTTTTTGCAGTGAATATTTAATGCAGATGACCGAACGACGTTCTCGGAGCACAATGGAGACAATGAATACCTGCAGGAATAATATCACCTAGTGGTGGACATCAATCAGTGGTTTACATGTATGTATAACATAATTATTAGCGAATTCTTCTTATCACACGTAAGAACGTCTGACGTCACGCGCCCCTTCCTCTCGATGCATTCCTGCGAAACATCCCACCTATTTGTTAAATAATCACTGGAAGGTACTCGAGAAACGTATCATACGGCTTCGCAGCATGTCGAGACACATGTCTCTGTACGTCTTGAGATGTCACGGCCAAAGGTGGCCCCAAGACACCAAAAGGAAAACATTCTTCCGCCATGCTTTCGGTTACTTGTCGGCCTTGGCAAGCGCATTGGATTAATTGTGCGCCGCGTTGTCTGTGCTCGTCAACCCGGTTTTCGACCGACCGTATATATCATTTATGTTGTTTTTACACCCCAGCAAGAGAGAGAACACGTTTCCCGGCGATAAAAAGATTGGGTACAGCCTTGATAAGCGTCTTCAAATTCGGCCGTGACACTAACCTCGTGCACGCGGGACCTCGCGAAAATTACCAGAAATTTAGAGCGTCTATAAACTGAGAAATAAAATATTCATTAAACCAAAGAAATATTTCTTTTTAATAGGAGCAATGAAATATACTTTTATTTCAAAGAGATCGGCTGGAATAATTTAGGTATAAAGTCGCGAAGAGACGTCGTATCCAATTTGTTCGATTTTGAGTGAAATAATGATTCCTTGAATTCATTTCTTTGGTACTGTTCAATCATTATTTTTGGTCAGTGTAATATCTTAAAATAATATTGCATTGCACATTGAGAAAATGTTAACGTTAATATATTTGTTAGCGATATCGATCGGCTTAATTTCGTCCAAGATCATCAAACGGCTCGTATGAGAATCTCGCGAGGACTTTGATTGTTGGAACCTGATATTACAGAGACAAAACACTTGTAAAGTACTCGTTAATCAGCGCAGCTTACGGGATATGATTCAACCTGACAGGACGATCGACGAGAACGTCAAGGTACATACGAAAGGCACAAAAGCACGTATTGTAAAATCGTACGCGATACGCGCTGTAGAAAAAAAGAAGAAGGAAAAGAAAAGAGCGAAAAAGAATTCCACTTTGCCGAATCGCGCAATTGGATTGCAGAATTGAAGACCGTGAAAAAGGATGCGAACGTTTCGCTTTGACATTCCAACAACGGATGAGCGGGTTCATTAATTAAACAACGAGTCGACAATTAGTTGCTAATTCCACCTCCGGGATTTGCATTGCCAAAAAACAGCTCCGTAAATGCAAAATCTCTCACCTCTGACAAAAAAAAATGCAAAGTCGGCATGAAAAATTCACAAAAAAATAAATGGGTGAACGCAATTTGCAAAAAAAAAGAAAAAACAAAAAACATGGTTCATCTTTTCGCATGCATTATTATTGTGAAAGTCGAGTTAGATCGATCTCCTCCTTTTGTGGAAACGAGGTGAGGATTCGAGACGAGTTTGCAAGATGGCGGACCCGAGAGAGCCGTTCCTCGAAGAAAGTTGCAGAATTTTGTCCAAACAATTCGGGGAAAAGAGATACGACTTCCCCGCATATGCGAGAAAACCTGGAAGAATTCAAGGCCGAATATATTACACGTAAGTAAATTATAACAGCCCGCTAATTTTATGCATTTTACCTTTGCCACTTGCAAATCGACCATTCCTGAGTTACGTGCAAACATTTACCGAATTTGCAGCGTCATGCGGACCTGGGATTTTTCGTCCTCCAAACCTGCATCGTCATGCGAACTGGTTTGTGAACAGCATATAAAATTCATTCCGGGGGAAAAAAAGAGGGGAATGAAAAAAATACGTCGACGACCACGCAGATCTGTACAGGCAGGCCGAAGGAAAACGCTGCATTCATTTCGCACCTATACAAGAGGCTAATTCGCTGAATCCAGTTTTCCGCCGTAATCCACGTTCAATGCCAGAGGCAAAAGTTGTTCCCAGCGTCGTTCCGAGCAACTTTTATCTGGAAGATTCTTTCCCGTGATGCATCGATTAGTCAAGACAGCGTAATTTATTCGGAATCGAGGAAGCAAGATGGCGGCTCCCTTCTGGCGTCGCGTCGAGGCTGCTTCCACCATTGAGGCGTTCCGGATTTGATAAACAGCAAAGGACCGAAAGGTGTCCTGTTCCTTGCGACATTAAAAGTAATTCCATAAATTTGATCAAAATATTTTCTAAAATCAACAAAACGCCTTAACCGAAACACTTCGGTGGAAGTGAACGCGTACCATCGAATTAACTAAAAAAATTCGAATCACTCCACCGAAAGGTTTCTTGAGATTAATGAAATGCAGTCAAACGATGCCGTTCGGTGAACCAAATGTTTATCTTATTTTATGATATGAGTAGCAAGTTTCACTTGCCAGTA